AAGTCTGACATTGTCGTCATGAGTGCTCTAGCCTGGGACCTCTTCTCTCCTGGGGCACAACGAGAGAGCATGGAGCAGGCGGGTAGACAGGAGGCAGACAGGTGTGTTCGAGGGGATTTGATGGCCTGGGCGTGGCTGTGTAAGAAGGGGCCCTGTGGGGAGTGAGCAGGCTGTGGGGTCCACACCAGGGACCTATGAGCTTGAAGGCTGTCTAAGGGGGAGACCTTTAGAGCAGGGGCGGCAAACTCATTCTCACCGGGGGCCTCTTCAGCCTGGTGGTTACCTCCAAAGGGCCAAATGTCATTTCCACTCCTTAACAGTTCAAAAACAGTTCCATGTACACAGTCCTAAAATTACTTCCGCCCTGTGAAGGCAACCGCAAGGCTGAAGTGGTCCCCAGCGAAAATGGGTTTGACAGCCCTGCCTCAGAGGAAGGGTGCTGGAGGAGCTGGCCCTGGTGTTGAGGTGGTGATAGAGGAGAATGCCAGAAACCACTATCATGGAGGGGGTGCCCTCTCCCTGATGGCCGGGCATGAGCTTGGGCATGGGGACGCAGGGTGGAGAGGAAGGGAAGAATATACCTGAGAAGGTGGAGGCTCCATGGGGACAGGGTCAGGCTCATGGGCCCTGAGGTCACGGGAATGGTTCCCAAGAGTAAGGACCTTGGGAGAAAATGCAACAGGAACCTTGTTCAAGACCTATGGGTGGAGCGCTGGGTGGGGGGCGGGGCTTGGGGGGGTAGAGAAGAACGGCGTGTTACAGGTACTGGTGGGGGACGATGAGGAAGTGAGTCCACAGCACCAGGGCTACAAGTGTTTGACTCCCTCACCTGCTGGTCTGTAGTTCTATCTGGGACTAAACGCACAGACAGGCTTGGAGGAGGGGTACTGGCAAGGATACGGGCGGAAGCTTTACGTGGCTGCAATACGCATGCTCACAAGTTGCCAATCACAGGAAGGGAAGTCCAAGTCATGGGAGGCAACTTTCAGGCCCGTCTGAATTTCCGGTTCCTGCTCCACTTCTTCGGGCATTTTTGGGGAAATGTCCTTGCTGGGGCTTTTTGCGCAGGTTTTTGTCCTTTCGCTGATAACTCCCCATCACTGCATTTGACTGCGGCAGCCACTGGAGCCTCTGATCCCACCTGTAGCCTCAGAGGAAACCATATCGTTTCCTTTCTGTTTCTCTAGGCAGCAGGGGGCAGTGGTGCACCGTGAATAGGCTACATCCTCTCTCCCCCCGCCCTTTCGGCTTGAAAAAAACGAACCTGACTCTTTTACCTAATAGGTAGTTAGGCTAAGGGCCTGTGTAGGCTCACTGGCCACCTGGACCCCTGCTTTTTCTCATTAGGTTCTCTGTGGAAATTGGATTCTACACACAAAAACGCTTTGCTTTTCAAGTTGCCTTTGCTTCTACGTAGCCGCCTCGGTGGCTTAGCAACCTGTACTTCGGCTTGTCTGAATTGCGTCCAGGGTGTCTTTCTCTGGCTCATTTGGTGTTTGATGGTCCATTCTGTCTATATAGTTCAGTTATGACAGTGACTCAGACCTCATTATAGAAAATGGAGGGATAGATAAAGTAGAGTGTTTCCCAGCACACGCCCATTCTTTCGGGACAGGGGCTTGGCCCTCACTAGGTCTTCCTAACACAGGCTCTAGTGTGTGAGTTCGACTCCCTTCAGGAAGATCCGCAATGCCAAAGCAGGTGACTGTGTGGATATATTTATTGCACCTGCGGACAGGGAAACAGGGAAGGGCTTGGCCCTGAACAGGGATGTCAAACTCATTTCCGCAGGGGGCCATATCAGCCTTGCAGTTGCCCAAAGGGCTGGTGTAATTTCCACCCCTTAACAGTTAAGAAATACGTACACTGTATATGGTCCTCAAATGATTTCAACAGTTTGAAGGCAACAAGGAGGCTGCTGTGGCCCCTGGTGAAGATGCTTTTGACGCCTCTGGCTTAGGAGAAGCAACAGGAGAGCCTCAGCAGGGCTCCCTTAGGTCAGTGGCAAGTCAGGCAGAAGGGGGGAGTTGGGGTCAGGTTCAGGGGATTGGCTTGGGACAAGCTGCCAGCTGATCATTGCCTTGGACTTTAGGACACCCAGGCCTGTGCAGCAAGAAGGGGAGGGTGGGGGTCAGTGGGGACCCCCCTCCACTGATTGGTCAATGACAGGTAAGGGGGGTTTTTAGTCACTGCAGTGGGTTCTGACATCACCAGCTGGTTTGGCTGCTTTTGGGGGCCAGGAGCTGAAATGGAACCTAGGCCTGACTGTGCTCTCCAGGGAGGAGAGGTTACCCTGGGGGACCAGGTCCTTCTTTTCCCAGCTGTGGCCCCTGCAGGCACTGGGGCCTCCAACCCTGGTCGCCTTCTGCACCTGGCAGTACATTACTTGGCCAGTGTGTTCAGCCACCTGCCTCAGTTTCCCTGCTCCCCTTGCCAAGGCATCTTCCTAGGTCCTAACTGTCCTGTCCAACCATGGCCCAAAATTGACCATGAGGGGAACTGTGGGAGTCTTTCCAGTAGGGCCCTGCCTTACAGCAGGGTCACTGCAAAGAACCTCGATTCTGCAATGCAGCCTAAGGTGATTTGGTCCAGTGGTTAAAAGCCACAGTCACCCTGGCCTGCTACCTTGCACAACTAATTTGGCTCAGGCACTGCCAGGGAGGGTCTGTAAAAAACTAATACACTGAACACATACAAAGGGGCCCAGTGACAGCCATCTGAGGGTGAGAGGTGTGTGTGAACCCGCCCATCCAACTGCCATGGCCTTTCTCTCCCCAAGTCCAGCTAATGGTGCTGCCGCCACTTAGGCAGGCCTCACATCCCTGCCAACAAGTCCCACATTTCTTACCCAAAGTTTCTTCTAAAAAGTAGTGGATGCAGGTAATGTGAACTCATGTAGCGCTACAACTTCTTTACACTTAAAGGCATCTATTGATTGGACATGAAGGTCTCCCCCCGCCCCCATTTTCTCCCTGTAGGCCCCCTGGGGACCTGGACCAGGGCTCCAGAGAACTCCCTCCCTGCCCCGGCTCTGCCAGCCTTCTGCTCTCTGCTCTCTGAGATTCTCTGCTTTCTGGGCCTGCCGCCTCCTGGCTTTCAGGAAGGGGGTTCCAGCTAAGTTACTGGTGAACAGGAGGGTGCATCTAGGAATGGGAGGTGCAAGAGGCCCCTGCTCCCAGTACAGAAAGTCCTTTCTGTCCTGCTCGGTACAGGGATTCATTCCAGGAATCGTTTGTCTTTCCTGGAGGACCACCACTTGGCTATGCCCTGGTGCAGGTGATCTCTAGGTTGTCCTCTGGGCTGACTGCAGACCACCCGAGAGGGAGCCCAGAGCGGAGTGACAGCACAAACAGGAGGCACTGGGCCACCCTCAGGAGGGCCAGGCACTGAGTGTGAGCTGCAAGCTGAGGGCCCAGTGTCTCGGGTGACGCGGGTGACGCCACCTGCACTTGGTGTCCTGAAAAGGTTATTTGGAGGAGAAACTTTCCTCTTTTTATGTAGTTTTGCTCCCTTATTCAAAAGAGTGGCCTGTTCCCTGAGCTCTTTACCTGCATGGACTGTGACCTCCCCTTCCTCCGAAGAAACAAGCTCTATAAAACTGTGAGTTGTCCATGAAATATATTTCTCAGATAGCAAGTTCTGGAGGCAAGTTTGCCCGCAAGTCCTCCCATCCGCCACAAATGAAAGGGAAAAACTACCAAGACATGATGTGCTTGGGGAGGGGAGGTGGTCAATCTCACACAGGAGAAGGACCAAGAACCTCGTCTTCAACGGCTTTTATTAGGTTCAGAACACACAGAAACATGGAAAGCTCGTTAATCAATGTCAGGGGGAAACCATCAAACAGTAGATAACACTTCACAGAAATCCGAAGGCTTAGTCTGAGTCAGTGTCTGTCAGGTAAGGGGGGTTGCAGAAACTTTGGGAGACATACTCATTTCCTGCCTGGACCCGAATCATATGGAGGTAAGCACTCTTAGCAAAGCAGGCTTCACGGGACCTTAGGAACTCTTTCTTATGCCCGATCACCCTGGGTCCCACTCTAGCCCACAGAGTGCTACACTGCCTTCCCAGTCATAGGTTTTGGGGTTGATGTGAATTCGTGCCAGGAAGCGCTTCTCCCAGATGGAAATGGGGACTCAGGCTCTGTCAGAATACCTGGGGCAAGGGTCCATCACTCCCTCTTTGTTGCAGGCCCCGGAGTCCTTCCTTGATGGCCTCCCAAGTGATCGTGTCTAGCTTAGGGTGTCCCTCCTCTGAGGGACCCGTCTCTGACTAACAGACCAAGCATTGGGGGCAGGGGATGAAGCAGAAGCAGCCCAGCTGCCAGAGATAACTTTTGTCTCCTTAGTGGCTCACTGTCCAGAGGTCGCTCACTCAGCCTTAGTCATGGGGAGCAGTTACAACTCCTGAAACCAGGCAGAGCGGTTCCCAACAGCAAGTCAGACTTTCCTACACGGGCCAAGTAGTGGCACGCTTGCAGGTGTATTACATAGGCAGAGACACCTTTCTTTCCATCCAGGGATGTAGGGAGAGTGTCTAGCGCCCCAGCTATGATTCCACACCTCGTGCCCTGTGCTGCCCAAATGCCATGTGGCTGAGGGGTCCTGAGTATAACACATCAGGTACTCCATCCACTCAGGCCTCTGTAGGTTGCCTGGTGCCATTCGGCACAGACACCTTCTCTGGCAGGTAGTGTGGTTATCCGCACTTTCAAACATGATGCCCTCCTACACGTGAGAACGCCAATGGCTACCTCGAGAGAGCACTGCTAAGGCTGTCTGGAGGACATGAACCCTGTGGTGTCTCGGGAGAGGTCTCCCCTGGAATCTCCCTTATCAGAACACTGGTCCTTGCCTTGGAGTGTGTGTGCAGACCCCAGGGGTGACTGTAGCTCTTCCTCGGGAACCTGCAGGACTCTGCTGTGGGTGCCAGAAAATTGGGTCATATTATTGGTTGAAGTTGGGTGGCTTCACTCAACTACTGATTGTCTTCTTTAGACCAAGGAACCCTCTGAGCAGAAGCAGTTGGATGTCGTCCGGGGGAAGGTGAGAAGTACACGCATAGGAAAAGCAGGTGAGACGCCCACGTTCAGGGAAAGGGGGAGGCAGGTCAGTGACTGTGGAGTCCTTCAGGTTTCAGAGGCTTTTAACCATCACAGATGTGTGGTGGGGATGGCTGGGAACTGACTCAACTTGTTCCTGCCTCTTGCTCTGGTCCTTGGTGCCTGCAGTCTCCTCCTTACAGCTGTCAGAGAGCTCTCTGAGAGCTGTGCTTCTATGCCTGGTCGTTTGTTACCTTTTGAGGGTTATAGAGGAGAGGAAGAAGGTGCAGTGGGGGGGGGGGATAGAAACAGAAATTAAGAACACGGGGGCTTAAAGGCAGGAAAGCTAGGGTGTATTGCAAAGGGCCTGTCCTCTGTTAGACAAGATGAACTCCTGGACGAGGTGAAGTCCTTTCCTCACCCGCCAGTTCTTTTCCCAGAGGGAAGGCCAGGGGTGATGCACCAGGTTCAGGAGCTGAGTGAGAAAGGACCCCTGCAGGGAGTTGAAGGAGCAGCCTGTCTCCTGGTCTTCTGTCCTGACCACAGCTCGGGGTGATCCTGCTGAACAGGAACAGGGCTGCAGGGCTTGAGGAGATGGGACTGGTTGGTCCTGAGAAGCAGTAGTCTTAGTAGAATGAAAAGAGAAAAAGGCAAATTAGATGTGGAGTCGTGAATTAGTTTTACTTCTCCCTACCATCATTTTGCTTCTGTTCTCTGCTTTGGTTTTATAATTCTCTTTTCTCCTTTTTAATTTATTTTTTCAAGGACTTGTTTTAAAAAATCATTAGAACTCCTTATATGAATTCTTATCCATGATGTCCCATGAGGAGGGTGAAAAATAACCCGGACCAACCATAGGCAAGGCTACTGCATCTCACAAGGCATAAAAACCTGTGTTCAAACAGCATGACATACAGGTCACCTCTAGTTGAGCACATTATCAGCTCTGGCCCTCAGCATCTCTGGGAAGGACAGGGCGGCCACCGGCCTGTATCCCTGATGGAAGCAGTGAGGCAGTGGGTGTCAAGGTGTAGGCTTCTGTGCCAGGCAGGTTCTCCAAAATGTGTGCGAAGATGGACTCAGAACGTTTGTCATATCGTTATTTCTTATATTTCAAAAACTCGGTAGGAGTAGTGGGACACACATTTGGCGTATTATAAACCAAGTTGAGTTTGGAGAAGACATATAAACAAGCTTATGTCAACCGTGAAAACTGCACAATTCTCTATTGGGTGCAGATATCACAAGGACTTAAAATGAAGGTGACAAGCAAAACAGGTTGAGAGTGCCAGGGTCTCAGATTGTTAGTCTTCTGTATTCCCAGAACTACAATACGAAGAATTTTTGTTGTAGCCTTGGGCAAAATAATGGAGGGCGGACACAGGACCCATCTCAGTGGGGCTTCTGACTTTTGGGGCCCAGGGCACAGGAACCAGACAGCAGCTGACCCTCACCATGGGGACAAGAAAGGAAGGCTGCTGCAGGACAGACAAAACGAGTGCATCTCAGATGTTAAACAAAACAAAGCAAAGACAGAGGCACTCTCCTCAGAAAGGTGAAGGTTTGGTATTTCCTTTCAAAGAGGAGTCAGGGGTTATTTCTGCTTTCTGCCCCAGTTATCAAATATAGTACTTACAGTCTTTAAGTCTACGTACACTATTAAAAAGAGAAAGGATTGAAAAGCATCGAACTCTTTTCAAGAGATTTTTACAACAGCTACCTCACACTAGAAACCTAAGTTTCTAACAAGCAGTTGAACTCACTGCAAGATGAAGCTCATTGTGTGTACAGAGAGCGCACCTCTATGGGCTGGAAGACCCAGAAAGAAATACAGCACACACCATAATAATCATGGGTGGGTGACAAAACTGCTTTAGATCACTTTTTCTCCCCCCCCCCCCCCCCCCCCACACACACACACTGAGGTTTGACTGACCAGGTACCCAAGGCACCCCGTTTTCGGGAGTGACTCCAGCGACTGGAGCAGTTCAGCCCCGGGGAGGAACTGGCCTGCCAAGACAATTGACCAAATATAGCAAATGTCTCCAAGTAGTTTTTCCAGCACAAAGGGCGGGGGAAGAAAAGAGTTGGTGGCTCCACACTGCCACCTGCCGACCAGAGAAACTGGTAGGCGCCATTTTCGTAGTCACCACACAGTTTTTTCATCCAATATTCAAAACTAAAACTAAAACTAATGCAAAAACACAGGAGCGATATCCAGTCAACAAATCCGAAGACACCGATGGTCTTAAGATGCAGGGACTACCCCAAGGAACCCCTACTCAGAAACGCCACCGCGACCTCTTGCTCATTCGCCCTCTTGGACCCATAGCAAAACTGGGGGACGTCCCAGGTTCACCAACTGGAGGAAAAGTGAGGGCCCCGCCAGTGTCCGAGCCAGCCTCATTAGCAGTCTGCTCGGGGACACTGTCCAAACTGTCTTGGGCCTGGCAGCACCGTGGCTACAGGGTTTCCGTCCAGCCGGTGATACTTTGTAGTCACACCTGGGACTAAACACGCACAGACGCTCCCACGGAGACTGGCAGGGAAAATGGCGCCTCAGAGCTCCAGCACGCATGCCCACAACCCGCCAATGGCGGACAGGGCAGAACCACTAGGAAAACAACTCTCCTTCCAGCCTGCACTTTGGTGCCTGTGGTCGGTTCCTAAGAGAGCAACAGGGAAGAGGCCTGGTTGGGGCCGTTGGGGCTGCTGCTTTTTTTCCCCCCCCCGATTCAAATTATCACCCTGCTGGACTCCAGGGATCCACTGACTTCTCTTTCCGCCATCTCAAAAAGAAAAAAACATTCCTTCAGCTTGCAGCTTTCTGTTTCTCTGAACAGCAGAGGGCAGTAGTGCATCGTAAAAGTACGACACCATTTCTCCCCCGCCCTTCCTTCAATGAAAAAAAGGAACTGACTCTTTTTTCTCATTGGCAGATGGCCGTGAACCTCTGCTCACTCTAAAACCACCTTCCCCCATTGTTTCACTCTCTTCCTAGTGAAAAATTGCATCCAACACACAAACTCTACTTTTCAAATTGCCTTTGCTAGACATTGCCATTTACCTTGCTTAGCAGTAAGTATTTCTGCTTCTCAAAACTGGCTCCACATGGCCTTTTCCAACGCATTTGAGGTTTCCTGGGCCATTATGTCTATATACCTCAGTTATGGGGAAGCAGGATAGGGACAAGGAAATATCATTTTTAAGTTGTTTTTGCAGCATTTTAGTAAGACAGAGTGCGCTTGCCCCACCCCGAACAGTGTGCACCCCAATAAGCAAATATCTAACCCCATCTTGCTTCTGCAACCTGCTGACGCCTTTTTAAAAGTAAGACCAACCTGCAGAATGGGGCTTATAATTTGGAGACTGCCTCCCTCTGAGCCCAAGTGTAACAAACAGTGCTCCACCATCCTAACTGAGTGTGAGTGACTTTCTGCAACAATGGCAGTCTCACCACATTCTAGAATATGGAGGGACAGACAAGGTAGAGTGTCTCAAAGCACAGACCCATTGTTGAACACGGGCCAGGCCCTCCCTGGGTCTCCGTGAACACAGGCTCTCAGTGTGTGAGTTCTTGACTCCTGCAGGAAAAGTCCACAAGGGGCATCCAGGTGATCATGCGGATACATTTATGACAGCTGCAGGCAGGAAACAGGGAAGGGGCAGCCTAGAAGAAGCAACAGGAGAGCCTGGGCTGGGCTGCCTTAGCTCAGTGGCAACTCAGACAGAACGGGGAGTTGGGGACAGGTTCAGGGGATGAGCTTGGGACAAAGCTGCCAGCTACCCATTGGCATGGAGTTTAGGGCATTCAGGCCTGTGCAGAAAGAAGGGGGTGTACAGAGGTGTAGAAAGGAAAGGCAGTGGCTCAGGTTGCTCCCCACAGGGAGAGCCCAACCACTGGATCCTTCGTCTTCAGGCTGTACCTCTGTCTCCCAGGCAGGAATCCTAGGGGAGGACTCAGTAGTCTGCACCAGGTCCCCAGGTGTGCCCCAGGGTGGGGGTCAGTGGGGCCCCCCTCCACTGATTGGTGAGAGACAGGTCAGGGGGCCGTAGTCGCTGAGTGGATTCTAACATTACCATCTGGTTTGGCTGCTTTTGGGGGCCAGGTGCTGAAGTAGAACTCAGGCTGGACTGTTATCTCCAGGGAGGAGAGGTTACCCTGGGGGGCCAGGTCCCTCTTTTCTCAGCTGTGGCCCCTCCAGGCACTGGGGCCTCCGACCCTGGTCACCTTTTGCACCTGGCTCTTCCTTGCTTGGCCAGTGTGTTCAGCCACCTGCCTCAGTTTCCCTGCTCCCCTTGCCAAGGCATCTTCCAAGGTCCTCCCTGTCCTGTCCCACCATGGCCCAAAACTGACCTTGAGGGGAACTGTGGGAGTCTTGCCAGTAGGACCCTGCCTTGCAGCAGGGTCACTGCATAGAACCTTGATTCTGCAAAGCATCCTTGCTAAGGTGATTTGGTCCAGTGGTTGAAAGCCACAGTCACCCTGGCCTGCTACCTTGGACAACTAATTGGCCTCAGGCACCGCCAGGCAGGGTCTGAAAAAATAATACACCAAACATGCAGGAAGGGGCCCAGTGACAGCCATCTGAGGGTGGGTGTTGTGTGTGAACCCGCCCATCCAACTGCCATGGCCTTTCTCTCCCCAAGTCCAGCCAATGGTGCTGACGCCACTTAGGCAGGCCTCGCATCCCTGCCAACACGTCCCATGTTTCTTACCCAAAGTTTCTTCTAAAAAGTAGTGGATACAGGTAATCTGAACTCATGTAGAGCACAACTTCTTTTACGCTTAAAGGCATCCATAGATTGGACATGAAGGTCTCCCCCGCCCCATTTTCTCCCTGTAGGCGCCCTGGGGACCAGGACCAGGGCTCCAGAGAACTCCCTCCCTGCCCCGGCTCTGCCAGCCTTCTGCTCTCTGCTCTCTGAGATTCTCTGCTTTCTGGGCCTGCCGCCTCCTGGCTTTCAGGAAGGGGGGTTCCAGCTAGTTACTGGTGAACAGGAGGGGTGCATCTAGGAATGGGAGGTAGGAGAGGCCCTGCTCCCAGTTCAGAAAGTCCTTTCTGTCCTGCTCTGTACAGGGATTCATTCCAGGAATCGTTTGTCTTTCCTGGAGGACCACCGCTTGGCTATGCCCTGGTGCAGGTGATCTCTAGGTTGTCCTCTGTGCTGACTGCAGAGCACCCGAGAGGGAGACTGGAGCTGAGTGACAGCATAAACAGGAGGCACTGGGCCACCCCCAGGAGGGGCAGGCACTCAGTGTGAGCTGCAAGCTGAGGGCCCGGTGCTCTCGGGTGACGCCACCTGCACTTGGTGTCCTGAAAAGGTTATTTGGAGGAGAAACTTTCCTCTCGTGTCAAGCTGAAGTGGTTTTCCTCTCTTATTCAAAACACTGGTCTGTGCCAAGTTCTATACCTGTATGGACTGTGACCTCCCCCCCTCTTGCCCCGAAGAAACAAGCTCTGTAAAACTGTGAGTTGTCCATGAAATATATTTTCCAGATAACAAGTTAGACTTTCCTACAGGGACTAAATAACAGCACGCTTGTAGGTATATTACATAGGGAGAGACACCGCCTTTTTTTTTTCCATGGAGGGATGCAGGGACAGTGTCTAGCGCCTCAGCTATGATTCCACATCTCGTGCTCTGTGCTGCCACAAAGTCTCTGTGCCTGAGGTGTCCTGAGTGTAACACGTGTCTGAGGCCTCTGTAGGTTGCGTGGTGTCATTCAGCACAGACACCTTCTCTGCCAGGGAGTGTAGTTATCTGCACCTTCAGACATGATCCCCTCCTCACAGATGAGAAGTGCAAAAAGGAAATTAAGAACATGGGGCTTGAAGCCAGAAAAGCTAGGGTGTGTTGTAAAAGGCCTTTCCTCTCTTAGACAAGATGAACTCCGGGATGAGGTGAAGTCCTTTTGTTATAGGAAAAGGAAGTGACCAGACACCGAGGGATTCTGGACTACGAGGTTGGATAACGTGCACAGGCCCACAGGAGTCAGTCTACAAATTCTGAGCCCTGAACAAAGGATTCTTGGGGTTTATATAGCCTACTGGGTCTTCCTCTCTACAGAGCAAAGCGGGATACAGAAGCGGAATGCGGTAATTAGTTCTATCTACGGGGCAGAAGCAGAGTACAAAGGCTAAATGTGAAAATTAATTCTATGGGGGTGGGGGGTGCTAGCCCCAGTCCCTGTGACTATCCTGCTATTTGCTTTTCCCAGACGGCCTTATCACTGTCCCAGGGCGCCTGGGGTTTTGGGTGAGCAAAGGCTTTTCAAAGCTTCCCACATCACTTTCCTCACCAGCCAGTTCTTTTCCCAGAGGGAAGGCCAGGGGTGATGCACCAGGTTCAGGAGCTGAGTGAGAATGTATCCCTGCAGGGAGTTGAAGGAGCAGCCTGTCTCCTGGTCTTCTGTCCTGACCACAGCTTGGGGTGTTCCTGCTGAACAGGAACAGGGCTGCAGGGCTTGAGGAGATGGGACTGGTTGGTCCTGAGAAGCAGTAGTCTTAGTAGAATGAAAAGAGAAAAAGGAAATTAGACATGGAGTCATGAATTTATTTCACTTCTGCTTACCATCATTTTGGTTTCATTTTTTGCCTTTGGTTTTATAACCTTTTTCTCATTTTCAAGTACTCATTTTAAACACCATTAGAATTCTTTATATGAGTTGTTTTCGATGATGTTCCATAAGGAGAATTGAAAATACCTGGGGTCAAACATAGGGCAGGCTTCTGCATCTCTCAAAGCATAAAAAACTGTGTTCAAAACAGCATGACATACAGGTCCCCTCTGAGCTGAGCACATTATCAGCTCTGGCCTCAGCATCTCCGGGAAGGACAGGGCGGCCACCGGCCTGTTTCCCTGATGGAAGCGATGAGGCAGTGGGTGTCTGAGGTATACGCAGGTTCTGCCAGGCAGGTTCTCCAAAATGTGTGCGAAGATGGACTCAGAACGTTTGTCATGTCGTTATTTCTTATATTTCAAAATCCAGGCGGGAGTCCTGGGAGACAATTTGGCTCATTATAAGCCCAGTCAAGTTCGAAGAAGATGTATCAGTTAGCTCATGTCGGCTGTGAAATCTGCATGTTTGTATGGTGGGTACAGAATGATCACAAGATCTTAAATATGAAGCTGACATGCAAAACATGGTGAGAGTGCCAGGATCCTGGAGAATGACTCTTCTGTCTCCCCAAAAGACGACAACAAGAAGAATTTCTTATAGCATGAAGGGAAAATAATGGGGTGCGTGCACAGGACACATCTCAGTGGGCTTCTGACTTCTGGGGCGCACTGGACAGGAGCCAGGGCGCAGCTGGCCCTCACCATGGGGACAGGAAAGGAAGGCTGCTGGAGGACAGATGAAAGGAGTGCGTTTCAGATGGTGAACAGACAAAGCTAAACAAACCCAAAGGAAAAACAGAGGTGCTGTCCTTAGGAAGGTTATGCTTTGGTATTTCTGGTTCACATAGGAGTCAAGGGTTATTTCTGGTTTCCATCTGAGTTGCCAAATATAGTACTTACAGGCTTTGAGATTGTATACTATTAAAATGAGAAATGAATGAAAATGGTTCAAGTCCTAGAAATGATTGTTCAGCTTTTATTTTTATTGTTTCTAGTTTTTAGATAGCGGGGAAGGTGGGGAGAACGACAGGGAGAGAAACATCAATGTGTCGTTGGTTGCCTCTGGCTTGCCCCTTCTGGGTACTGTTAGGTTGGAGCCCCTCAAAAAACCAGACGGATGCAGGGAGCTAAGGAGCAGGGTTTACTATCAGGGAATAAGAGGGAAAGTGGAGCCAACCTGGGGCAGTTGGGGAGTCAACCAAGGAGGTTAGGACTCACTGAGTTGTTCCGAAGGCAGGATTTCTAAGCGCAAAAAGAAAAAACAAAACAAAACAAAAAAAACTGGCCAAGAGTAACTGCTTGGGGTGTCAGAGTCTGATTGGCTAGAGCTGGTTGCCCTGAGCTATTTCTGCTGACCCCCTGCTGTTGATACCTCTAGTCTGGCTCGAGTTAAAGCTGCATCCTGTTATGCCAGATAGGCGACCCCAGACCCCAACCTTAGCAGGGCATCTGTTTTTCCTGGGTAGGGTCTGCAGGCAGCTTCCCACATTTCACTTTCCCAAAGTGCAGTTTTCCCACTTGGTGATTTTCCATTCCTCCCAGGCCTACCTGGGTCTGGGAGGTACCCGCCCGCAACCCAGGCATGTGTCCTATACTGGCAATCAAGCTGGCCAAACCTTGATTAAATGGCCAGCCCTCAATCCGCAGAGCTACAGCAGCAAGGGCCTTTCAAGAGACTTTTACAACAGCTACCTACCTCATGCTAAAAACGTGAGTTTCGAATCAAAGAAGTTGAACTCACACTGCAAGATGAAGCTCATTGTGTGTCAGTGCACCTTTATGGGCAACAATGCCCATAAAGAAATGTCACCCACTAATAATCATCAGTAGGTGACAAAGCTGTGTTTTAGGGTTTGTTTCTTCTCTTCCTCCCAGTGGTCCACACTGAGGTTTGAGTGAGCAGGTAACTGAAAAGTATGCTGATAAAAGCCCATGGGAAGACCTTTCACAAACTCAGGAATACAGGATAGGAAGGAGCCAAGGCACCCAGTTTTCAGTAAGGGACTCCAGGAAATGCACCAGTCCAGCCACTAGAAAAAGCAGGCCTGCCACTGCCTGTGTCAAGACAATGGACTGAGTATGCCAGTTTTTTTCCAGCACAAAGGGAGGGGGACAAAAACACTCAGTGGCTCCACACTGCCACCTGCTGCCCAGAGAAACTTAACGCCTTCGTGCTTGGCAGGCAGGGGCCTGTTTTTTTCTTCCCCGAATTTCACCAGAACACTAAAAAGAGACAAAAATATAAGAGGACAATGCTCCAGACTCCACAGCCCCGTAACTCTAATGATCGAAAGATGCAGGGATGAGCCTAAGGAACCCCTACACAAAAACACAGAGGACACCTCTTCTTAGTCCCGCCCACCCTCGGAGCGGTTGCGAGGTGGGAGAAGTCCCAGGTCCCTTGGAAGTTGGTTGGCTCTAGGCCAGCAGGAGGGCGTAAAAAGTCAGGGCCAAACCAGTGTCAATCCCCTCTAACTTAGCCGCCTCAGGGACCTTGTTCCAGACTCTCTTCTGCTGGGCAGCACCAGGGCTACTGGGTATTGGTTTCTCAAGTGATAGTTTAAATCTGCACTTCGCATTAAACCTACTCAGGTACTCCTGGGGGAACTGACGGGGAAACTGACAGGGACGCTGTCCCGGAAGTCCGAGGATTCCGCGGGCGCATGCCCAGAACCCTCCAATCGCAGCGAGGACAGCAGCACTAGCCAATGGCAACTTTCCTACAGCCTGTACTTCCTTTTGTGGCGGGTTCCAGACAGCACCGGGGAAGTGGAATTGCTGGGCCTTGGGGCAGGTTCTTTTCCATCGGCTGGTAGGAATCATCACTGTGCTGGACTGCAGCAGCCAGTGGGGTCTCTGCCTGTGTGCCTAGCCTTAGGAAAAAGAACATCCGTTTCCATGTGCTCCCTACTGTTTCTCTGGACAAGAGAGACAGTGGGGGGATCGTGTGAATGGCATTCCAGCTCTTCCCCTGTGCTCTCTTCAGTTAAAATATATACATATTTTTTTACTTAATTCTTCCACATTGG